ACGAACGTAAAGTTGTGGGTGTGGTTCGTACGCCTCATGGTTGGTTTGGAATCGAGTTTTTTGGCCAACTCCCCCAGGTGAACTAACAGTGGTCCACCAACCCAGTTATGGCCCCGGATGTCGGCTTTTCGTCCCCTCACTTTGGTGGGAAAACGCCCCTGCCACGAAAAGGTAGTGAGTAGGGCTTCCTCAGCAGAGGCTGTTAGAGACGCTTGGTCGTATGGGAGCATTTCAAGAGTTGCAAGGAAAAGGTGACCAGCCGCAACCCTAGACACCCGCCCCCTACGATACTGAGGCTTTTTGGTTATCGTGGGTCACGAACTACATGAGAGACACTGTTTAACGCAGCTGGCACCGCTTGACAGCTCCTTGGTGAAACGTGAGTAACAAACCACAAAGAATTATTTTTCTCGTAATCATTTAACAACTAAGTTGCATCATACGAGGCCGTTATGGCTTCTTGGTCTAACTATTGACCAACTGACAGTTCCGTTCACCGGCTTCTTACAAATTCAAAATGGAATAAAACTATGTTCCTACTTTTTTATCAATTTTGATCACTGTTTGGCTTTGGGCAATTCATGCCAAACTGTCTTCAAGGTATCTATTTTCTATCATTATCATAGTATTGATATAATAAATACAATGTAACGTCACGCCACACACGTAAAATGCAATTCATTCTGATCATTCTGTTCGTCTTTGCAGGTGTGGATCAGCAATGGTGATATCATTTTGGTCGGTTTACGTGACTATCAGGACAAGAAAGCAGATGTAATTATGAAGTATCTGAACGATGAGGCTCGTACTTTGAAGTCGTTAGGTGAGTTTGCATGCATTGTGCGCTCGGTCGCGATCAAGAAACTTCGCTTAACTGAGTCGCACTGTACCGCATTGCGGATGTGCTCTAAGTTTATGCTCTACTGTACTTCATTCAGACGGTTGTGTAACTGTTTGATTCTTGACGCTGGTAAAACTGCAAAAGTATCCTTTTACGTATAATCAATTGGTGGTTGTTGAAGAGTAGAATATTTTTTATCAAGTTTCGATCAAAATTAAGAGTCCGTATCTGGCTTGCACAAATAGGTTTGTCATGCCTTTGTTTGCTGCTCACTGATCCAATCATCGATGTTACGCTTATTGTTAATCGCACCAGGGTTGCTCACTGTTTGTCCATCGAATGAGTTGCTTCACAGCTGAGCTTTCTCCTGTTTTATTTCATGTTTTTATCGCTAATCTTATTCGCGTTACTCACCGTTACGTCATTGTTCCATGTGTGACACTAAGCTCGCCAGTCACGGGGCATGTTTTCGTCACAGCTCAGGCAGGGGATCGTGATCACTGCTGTCAGATAAAGTGATTGAGTTATGAGTTAGTCGACGGAATACGCGCTCAGTGACTTCTGATGATATCTTGTTTCTACTCCTTACGGTCCTGTGAAAAATGCATCATTTGTCGGTAAATAACTGGAACAAGTTGTCTGATTCTGGTTTTAATTGTTCGGAGTCACTGCGATATGTCGACGCGGGACCAGAAAGGAATTCATCATAGTTGTTCGAGAGACAAACCAACGAATTGCTTTTGTATTTCGACGCCCGATCGTGTTTCGGTCGTCTGCTGACCGGCCACTTTGTTTTGTTTCAGTCATCGTGTCATTTCAGCATGCCAGAATGTTTCCGTTTCTATATGTAGGAGACTAAAGATTTAGTGGCATTCATTCAGTTTTTTAATAAATACTGTTCGCTCGCTGTTTTCCTGACTAAGTATAATTACTTCAGCATAAAGGCTTTATCTGGATGAAAAAATGTCCTGGCTGTTGACTTAATGGTGATACTGAAAATATCAAATAATCGCACAAACAACTTTTCAGAAGGGTATAATCTGCCGTCGGTTAGCCGCTGCTTGGGGGTCACTGGCATATTTGTAGCACATCACTCAGTTGTTAACTTCTCACGGACGTATTTGCTTCCTGTGAGGTGTGCGTTGTATCTGATGGGAATCGACACACTGGTTAATGTGCTGCTGCTGCTGGTCTGTCCTCATTGTTTTTGTTCGGATTTATGGATCTGTGGATTCACGTGATACTGTGAATGCACGTGGTCGTTTGTTTAGTCCATCAGTGCTGTCATTTTCTACAGATTATCAATCAGTCAGTTATTGAACCGGTGAAAAATGCGCATACCTTAGCTGGGTGCATAACAAGGTTTCCATTTCCACACAGCGAAGATTGTTTGCTCGTGTACCGCATCTTCCTCGAAGTTGTTCTGCGTCTTCATCATACCCCAACTTTGTCTTACTTTCTTACCATGGATTACGTTTCTGACCTTTGATCTCCATTCTGTTCAATTTTTTTCAATCAGACTCGTGGAATCCATACCTTCCGATTGCTCGATTAGGATGAACTTACCGAATTGGGTGAACTTCAGTGTACAGTCGGTTTCATTCTCCTCAGAATTACTGTAAAATTAATCCACACACTCAGCAAATTTGGTTTGTAGATTGACCAGTTGTGGGGTTGACCTCTGTGACTGCAAATCGCTTCATTTACGAAGTGGATCAAGTTCACGAATCACCTTTTCTTCATAAGATCTTCGGCCTTTCAATGCGGTAATCTGTATAGAAATGTGCAAAGCTTTTGACAGAATTCAGATTCTGCTATTTTGTACCCATCCATTAGACTTCATTTTTGAGCACAATCCTCTGTTGATCCATACAACCGTATACTCGGAATCATTAAACTTGACTTTCTCTCTTGGTACTTGTCAGTTGAATATATCCACCTCCCCATTCGGGATTTGATCTGTAGTTTAATGTGGTTGAGAGCGATTGTTTCGCGTACAGTGATTCCGAAGAGAGAATCTTGTTTAACGAATTAATCTTATCAGAAAGTGGATGTTGCGGAAAGAATGAAACTTGAAATCGGAGGCGGTTAAGAGGGTGCATCATTACTACGTCGTACGTCTATTCCCTACAACTTTGATAACATTCGATTACTTTGTCGGTGCGTTCGGCTTCCGCATTCTGCATGCTGTGAGTTTCGCACATCACAAAACCCACGAGCATGAAATTCGTGAGTTTGTCGGGACAGTCCTTAGCGCTATATACCGTTTGTTTCTACCATCACCAATCTACTTGCCTTCAACTCGCTCGGGGGAACTGCATGCTCTTTTCATTCCAACAAAGTGTCCCGATTTCAAACAAATGAACAACGGCCGAGTTTCGTCCCACCTTTCTTCCGACTGTGGACTACGATGGTTAGTGTTCTTCGACCAATTACGCGAAATGCCGATAGGGTCACCCGTATATCTGTACAACTGATTCACCCAGATTCTTCACTGTCCAAGTGAATATCATTTGTGCTTGGAGCACAGATAATTCGGATTTCCGTTGTGCCTTAGTCGTTGTATGGATTCAGTGTTTAGCGGTGCCGAATGCTTATTCTCCTTCCGAATTCCCCTAAACTGAACAGATTCTGAGTATCCACACTATAAGTCAGGGATACTTTAATCTAGACTTATCCAGTAGTTTTGCATGGTACAGTCGACTGTTGGATAGTCGGAAACCGTAATGTGTTATGAAGGTCAGACAGATGTGCACTTTATAGTTCACGTAATGTTCACAAACTCGAAGTCTTTCCGGTGTAAAATCGGGACGCGAGAATCACCAAAGTCACACCACGAAATTGATATCTATCTTAGTCTTCGTGGCATCAACTTGGTAAGAAACATTATCATAGGCGGACACATGATTCTCTGGGAGTTAAAATCTGCCTAGAAGCTGTGATGAGACTGTATTTCACAATTATGCTGGTGAGCTTGTAGTGCCATAGGGTAAAATTTTCGTTCACTAAAATCTCGATTGCCACAAACAGTGCAATCATAAGCTAAAGAACCCCAATGACCATCTTATTACTTGTCATTCATGTTCTGTAACCAAATAAAGTACCGATTCACTCCTGCTTGGCGATTTCTTGTTTATTTCTTCGTGCTATCCGGAAATTCGACCGACCAACATTCATTCATGAACGCTTGAAACAGACTCCTGTATGAGGGAATTCGTGTATTCCACACTGCTATGCAGGTGAAGACAGTTAGCGGTTGTGGGTGGAAAATATTGCTGGTGAGCTTTTTGGAAAGGTTTGTGAAAAACATGCCAAACTTTGCTGACGGCAGAAATTGAAGGGAATTGTATTTGTCAACAAAGGAGCAATGTCGAATGACCTCAATGGTGTTTCTATCAGAAAGCGTTGCATGGGATCAATGGAAAATGCGGCATTTGATCTCTAAATTGTTCATGTTTTTCTAATTACCCTGAGTTTTTATGATTGTCAAAAATAGAGTTCTATTTGGAAAACTTGGTGGGTGATTTGAAAAATGAAATAATCTTGGAAACGTTTGGGGTATACACGATTTTCGATAATCACTTTTTCGCGGGGCCGACAAGAGTGGCACTATTAGTAGATTGTCGTTTTTTACTACACACCAGTGTGTGATGAACAACAGATGGGGACCGCTGCTATTGAATGATGATCACCGATAACTTGATCCCCAGGACTTGGAGTAGCGAACCGCATACGGCCTCCATAGGTCAAACGTGGTATAGATCCGGGCGACAGCAAAGCTGTCTATCATTGAAAAGATCAACAAAGATTGTTTTACACAATGGGGATGTTGTTTTATGCATACGCCTAGATCTGGCGGCGTTAAACATTGATTTAACTGCCGTGTTGAGAACATCTTGATATTTTCATCTGCAGCTTCTGTTCCTTGAGGAAGCCACATGGCTGGTGAACCCTTGTTGGGTGTTGTGATGCAGCAGTGCAGAAACACAGGCGAGCATTTTCTATGTTGTTCTTTGTTCTTGTCGTACATGAACAAGATTTATTTGGAGTCAGTTATTTCCCAGTCATATGAGTGGTACGTAGCTCCCCGAGTGAACTTTACTCCCTGATCTCTTTAGTCGACTAGGTTCTGCTCTTTAATTCATTGCATTTTGCTTCAATGGAGGAAACGCGGGAGCGCTGGAACGCTAACCGTAAGTTGATTTCAGTGATCAAGTAGTGTACAACGCTCCCACCACAAGGTTCAAGGTGTTCCCTCCACCGTCTTATCCTTGCCTGAATGCACCCTTCTCGGGTCTCACTTGGCTCCGTTTTTTCTCTCCAACTATCTTATTTGGTATATTGCTGCAAGTTCTGTTGAAGGAATTTCATGGTCCCTTCGGTTTTCGTCACCAGATGTCACTCCTATGCAGTTTATACCACTCGTATATGCTTCGTGTGTAACGGGTTGGGTTGTAAGCATTTACTATCGTGCCTGATTCTATTCTCTAGTCGAGTCTGCAAATTTGCCATAGCTCATTTCAATTAACTTGTTCACATCACACGAAACTTCTTTCATCTAACAAATTGCGATCGTATTCTGGTACTGGACCTCGCGAAACTTTTCGCCCATTATAACTCATTCTTTTTCACTTCATCCACTAACTATTGTTATCCAGGTGAGATTCCAGATACGGTGAAACTGGAAGAAAACAATGATATTGAATTCGACGCCAATGCGGCCCTCTTTGAGGAGGACGAAGCGGCCTCCGAATCAGAGGAAGAGCAATCCGACGAGGATAGTGATGACAGTGACGACTCAGATGACGTCGCTGAGAGTATACAGCGCTACCGGTCGGACTACGGTGGCGCTAAAGACTCACGTAATACTCGCAGGAAATAGGTACGGAACGCTTCACCCTCTTCACACACACAAACTTGTGCATGGCATCCATCCTTCTGACTCGATTCCATTCACAGCAGGACATGAAAGACAACAGACACGAACATACATCTATTGATTACCTGAACTCCCGTGTGGCTCCGTGATGAACGCGTCACAGTGGCGCGAACTCGTTTTCACATGGTACATATTCACCTGCTTTCTTCCTCTTGATAATTCCCACTTTCATCGTTGTCTCAGTTCATCTTGTCCGTTCCATGGCTTCATCGTACTTTCCGGTGATCGCCTTTTACTCTTGGTATATTTTGATTCAAATGTCGATGACAACAGCGCGATCAGCACCTCACTGTTTCATCTTCCTTCAGGTACCTGTATGTTCTCACCTCCCCTCTTCGTGCATGGTTCCACCACCATCATACCACAACACTCCGTACTTTGCTGTGGTACATTACAGTTCACTATGACATGCGTGTTCTGCTGTGTGTGTGTGTGCGTGTCGAGGTTTCACACCAAAACATCGTTGTATTTATTCGATTCGATGATGTCTCCACCTGTTCTTCGTGCCATAAATCCGTCAAAATACTGTGGTGCTGGAGAAGTTGTTTTTCATCATTAGTGGCTTATGGGATAGGATGAACGACCAATGTTTATTATTAATTTCTAAATATACTACTGACATCTTTGCAGTAAGCAATCTTGAATTACGAAAACTAGATAATCAGCAAGCATGAAATCCAGGACCAATAAACTCTTTAATCAGCTTTCAATACTACCTCGTTTATTTGTACTCAGAATTGTCGAGCAAAGTCTGTTATAGCATTCTATCGAAAACCAGAGTTAGGATATATATGGAACATTCAGACTACCATATTCTGGTGGTTTTTATTAGCTCTTTATGATGCTACATTTCGGCCTACAGGATACTGCAATCGCTATCCGCTTCTATTGGAGTAGGAAGGGAGAACGCAATGAATCCTCACGTTTACGGGAATACCAATCGGTAGTGGTATGAGGGGAAATCTGCTCATCATACTGCCGGGACCGGTTTTGTTAAAGATGGCTGCTAAGGTAAACTTGATTAGCGGTTCGATTTTTGTCCCGTTCGGATGAAGTGCTGTGGCAACTAGTATAATTTTGTTAGCTTCGGGGCGAATAATAGACTGTCTCCTTGTTCGGCTCTGGTTGTCTGGATCATTGTTTCGGTTGCGATGTTTCAACACTACGCCTACCTGTATCTTGTTCCGGCTCGTGTCTATCTTTCCTTCCGTGTAACACCTGAAAAGTCTGTATCGTTCCTCGAAGAATTGTTTCCTCATATGTCACATCATTTATTTAATTCCTGGGCTATTTTACTACTGAATTCTAACAAGATCCAAACTCAACTCTGGTGCTTCCAGCGCTTCTGGGTGACTGGAGGCATTGACGATTGTGT